GAGAGAGAGAGAGAGAGAGAGAGAGAGAGAGAGTACTTCCATAGATAGGATGAGAAAAATCGGAATGAATCTTCCACTAGAATATGGAAATATACACTGCTGTCCAGCCATGCGCGCAGAGAGATAGAGAGAGGCTACTTCCATCGATAGGATAAGCAAATTGGATTAAATCTTCCGCTAGAACATAGAAATATACACTGCCACTTTTTTTTTCACTTTTTTTTGTGTGTCAGAGAGAGAGAAAGAGACACAGAGAGAGGGAGAGAGAACAGGTAAGCCTCCATGTTATGATCCTGGGCAATTTCGAAGTACACATTCATCAGAAAGTACAATGCCGTCCAATTGCAAAAAGAAATGAATGAACTTGAGAGGAGAGAGAGGGAAGAAGAAGAAGGAGGAAGAAAGAAGGAGGAAGAAAGAAGGAGGAAAGAAGAAAAAGATGATGTACACCAGCATAGATCAATGATAAAGCTCTTCTTCTTCGTCAACCACTCTCCTCCTCCTTATCTCCTCCCCTCTAATTCAAACAAGAAATAATAATAATAATAATAATGTTGAAAGGCTGAACCAGAATCAATGTCCGAACCCCTCGTCTACTGCAGGTATCGCATGAGGTCCACCATAGCCATGGCCACCCTTCTTCCTCCTTCCTCCAAGGTCGAGGCTATGGCGGACTACCAGGGCATCGCCCTACTATGCAAAGGACAACACAAAGCAGCTATGGCTGCTCTAGCTCAGGCCGCCATGCCCGACTCTGCCTCGAAGCTCCTTGGTGTAGCTCTACCCCAACTGGGGCCTTCATGCTGCAGCGCCCACCAAGGTGATGAAGAAGGCAACCACCATAGCCCCACCATAGCCAGGTAAGTACCTCTGGCGCTCCCCTTTCCTACCAGTAGTTCTGGTCTTCTTCCTCCTCCTGTCCTTGCTCCTTCCCCAGCAGCGCAGCTCTGTGCTGGCGCTGCACCAGCCAGCGCTCCAACCGGTGTGTCGCCAAACTTGCACACCGACAATGAGGAGGACCACTTTGCTCCTCCTGGAGATATAGCGGCCTGCTTGCCTCTTGGCGAATGACTTCCTAGGCCGCGCGGCATCCAAGCAACCGGTACCTCCCTTTCGGAGGGAAACATCATTGCAGACTCTGATATTGCCCGTACAGGCCTTTGACTAAGACTGGTACAGCTACTAGGCCTCTAAAAACGCCAACTTTTGTCTTCTGCTCGGCCTTGAGTACCGGGCACATCTACCTTTACTTGGTGCGGTACCGGCCTACCTGCTACTTGAGTGTTCT